AGTAACACCGACTGTGATGCTGGTGAGAAAACAACTATTTATTTTCTTCAGAAGTAGTCTTTTAATTACAGCGGACAAACTTTTATAAAGTCATGAATCTGTCGTATACATGATTGTCAGTTACATACCTGATGATGTCCCAGTGGTATGATTTATGTTGCCATGAGGCAGAGAAGTTCCTTTCAATGTTCCCATTGTTGATCCTTTAAATTGATTTCAGGGTTTGATCCGCCGCCCACCATGCCCCCACCGTGTCAGTGTCAAAATGGAGGAACCTGCTACTTTGATGACAACAACGCTCTTTGCATGTAACAAATGTTTTAGTTTTTACAACCATAAATTGAAAATACATATAGAAAAATATATTCATACACAAGATAATACAAATACAACAAACTGAGTAATTTGTTTGTTTGTGCATCAATATTTATTAGTCTACAAATTTTGTAAATTTGAAATGTTACAACTCTATTGTTTGTATTTTGTTTCACAGATGTCCTCCAGACTGGACTGGAGAGAACTGCCAGACAAACATATTCAACGTGGTCGCATCCTCGAGTATATTTGATTTCATAGCATTATAACATTCCACCATTCAAACGTTAAGCTTTATCTCTGATTAACTATACTATTAACAAGCTGCCTTTCGCTCCCACCTCCGTGCTTCCATCTCAGTTGGAATAGCGATCGGGGTGACGGTGGTGATTGTGGTTCTTCTGGCTGCTCTGGTCTACGCTGCCAGGAGGAAGTCCAACCTGCTTGAGAGAGTACGGAGCAACTTGCCCAGTATGCCATCCATGCCCAACCTCCCAAGCTTCAGGTGATATTCTGTCAGAAAATTGATATCCGAAATATTAGTTTTCTTCTTCTACCACAGAATTAAAATGAATGTGATTGTTTTACGTTGGTATGCTATGAACAGCATCATGTTACAGCTGAATTATCTTTGTTTCTTGTTCATTTCTAGAAATGGTTCGTCTCCAAATGCATCAACAACAGAGCGTGACACGAGGCTGAACTTTGAAGCGGTAGGTCAAAAAGCAAAACAGCCATTCATGACAAGGGATGGGTATCGTTAGTATTTTATATAAACTAGTACTATTATTGATGCTACTCATTAGTGTGGTTCTTTATTAATACTCTTATTGGTTCTTCTATATTGCTAAAACATTTTCTTCATCCTCTCTCTTACTGCTAATGTGGATAAAGGGAGGTGGTTTGGGATTGGGAGTTAGGGGGGCATCCCTATTCATGACAGAAGCAAATGTTTCATACCAAACATTTATCTAGCTATGTTTCCATTTGCGTATTATTATGCGCATTTTTAAGTTTTGAGTATTTCAAGGCATTTGAAGCCTCCGCAGGGCTTGTGACATTCCAAAAGTTTGCTTAAAATGAGTTTGACGATTGAATAGAAACATGGCTAATGGCTAACCAATCAGATAAACAAAGAGCTATCGTGGTTATCAACCCGTTGTGTCTACTTGTCGTCTGATGTCAGGTTCCCTCCATGTCTGTGTCCATGGCGGAAACAGACGGGAAGAGTTTTGAGAACCCAGCGTATGAAGTTGGAGAACAACCTGCAGCCACGAGGACGGCGGACGCAACCTTCGCTCCTGATGAATCAAACCAGGTCCATAAACAAAAGCACTGCTCGCCTGTAGAGATTAACATGATGATGGCTGCATATATATATCACATGCTACATGGCAACTGTTTTAAATTATACGCCAAAGGGTAGTACCGAGAAATGTGGAAACATAATGCAGCGCATCACTTCTATAGTGTTGGATAATAAGCTTCAGATGTTGCTGTATTTTGATTGGCTGGTCTTGTCCTGTGTTTCCTTGCTCAGGAGAACATAGATAACCCTTTGTATATGGAGGAAGTTAAAGTTGCGGACGAGCCCACAAGAAGTGCTGACAAACCTGCCACTGTCAACGAGGTCAGTTTCACATTCATCACCAATTTAATGTCCCAGAAAAATGATTTATCTATCTCATAACTCCAAGGCTTCATTCTGAAATATCACACCACACTATAGAAATTGCAGAGGGAGAAATATCTATTATTACGTAATAAATCATATTGTTTTTGTCAGTCATTGAATCAAGAGTAGATGTCAGGTCTTCAGTTCGTACTGACTGATATTCCTTTAAACCAGTTTGAACCTTGTGGCAATTTTAGGAGCCTTTTGAGAACCTGGCATACAGCTCGGACATAGAAGACGTTGATGTCGCTTCTACACAACCAGCTGCTTCAAGCACACATGTAGCGCATGACAAAATGTTGCACAGTGTTTATTGCTCAATATCTGAAAACATAGTTAATTACATGATGTGAATGTTTTATTATGAGCAGCTAAATGTCTGATATAGAATATCTAACTGTGATGTGAAGTCTTTGTATGTACATGTGTGAACACGTGTGCTTGTTTTTATCCTTAATTATTGAGGCATTTCATTTCTCCTCTTTCCAGCAGTTTGAACCCATTGAGGAGGACAGTTTTGCGTCTTTCAAAAACCCCACATACATGGTGAGGTCAGAGTGACAGTAAGCTCAGATTGAATGTTTCAGGGTTAAAACCGGCAGCGGCAAGTGTCTCAAAACACGATCTATCGCTCTGGATTTAATAGGACTTTATAGATTGTATTGCGACATGCAGAGCTGTTAAAGTTTTGCAAATTATGGCCATTAAATGTTATATATTTTTACTTTAATTTGACGACTTTGTAGTGACAGTATTAAAGGCAAATCACAGCTTGTGTTGTCCTTTTTGTAAATGATGTAACCTGATTTCATTGAGTCTGAGACTTAACCTATTTACATAATTGTTGAACAAGATCATTTTGTTTTATGTCTGAATATTGTATGCGACATGTATGCATATGACATAAACCGGAAACACAATATCTCATTGCTGGCATTTTTAGTAATTGTGATCTTCCAACAGGAGCAGCACCCACCAGATTCTGACGTTTGATGTTGTGATCTGTACATCCAGAGATTAGACGGATCCACGTTTCAGGTCTGGAACCTCATTCATTGTCATTGGAGGACGTAGCATTGCTGAAATAACAGCACAACCTGAACAAGTAGAGCATTCCCAACACTGACAGACGCATAACAAATCAACCAAGACATTTTGTAAAAGAAAGATATATTTTGTGTGAATATAAATTTGGATGGATATACATGTTTGACTATTTCCATGTAGCTATTTGTGTAAAAAGATCATAGACATCACAGACATGATTAAATGTAACTAATATGAGACTCATTCAATAAGTGAATGAAGTGAATAGAAACTTGTAAATGACTGTTTATGATTAATTTGTTTTATATCTTTATTTACATTTTGATTTTGAGGAACTTCAACATTAAAACTGCTGTTGTCATCACTTTATATCTGTGTGTTGTTTTTTTAAGATGAAGCCCCTGATGCTGAGCTTTGTTACTGTCTCTCCCTCTTACTTGCACCTTTCTTTGTGCGACAGTGAACACATCACAGCAGGATCTGTCATTACGACGAGGCCGATGTTATCCACTCGCTGGTCACAGATAGGACTCTGATCCCAAGCTATCTGACCCACTGAGCTAAGATGAAATGCTTTCTCATCATCCATTTAATAACGCAGAGAGCCACAGTTTGAGACCGTAATCACAGGGCAGCAGCAGCGACTCTGCTCCTCTCCGACTGTCACAAATGTCTGAACACATCAAGGTCTGCTTGAACTTGCAACAACTAGGCCAACCAGATGAGCAAAGGGACAAAAGAGAGAAAAATCACAGGCACTGAAGAAAAGTGCAAACACAATAGGGAGGACTATAGACCGCCGGCTTTGTTGTGGTCCATGATTATTCGTAGTCCCTCACAAGGAGTCTGACCCTCAGCCAAAACATGTACCGTACCGCTCACAGAGCGAGAAACATGGAGGGAGGGGATGAATATAATAGAAGGGTTTGAGATGGGCGGACCAAAGAGGCATGCAGCTTGCAGCATGTGTGCACACTGTGCTGCATTCACGAGCTGTCAGAAAGACTCTCATGAATGAACCAACAATGATATTTACAGGATTCCTGAATAGTCAGGAAGTTGTTTGTTTTTCAGTCAAGTTGTTGTTTTATGTATTGGTGAGAATAAAATATTTAGGAGGAACATTTTCTGAATCATATGTTTCAAATATCTGAATATGGACATGTGAAGCCATTACAACAGCCCAACAGAGAGAGGGTGATTGGATTCATATCAGGTGAATCAAATGAAAAATTATAGCAAAATATTTAAGTCAAATGAGTCAAAATGATGAGATTCTAAGTGATACTATGACATACTGTAAGTCAAGATTCTGGCTTTACATAAAAACTGAATTATGAGTATATTTGTCATTTCCAATGTCTATTTTTTTCCTTTAGCTGACAAAAACAGGCTTCCATATATGTTTTGCATTTCGTGTAATATTGTATATTTTAGATCCCTATTTCCACTTTCTGTTCATTTCTCAGTTAGCAATAAAATTAACTACACAACTTGAAACCACTCTAAATGAACTGTCAATAATGATCAGATGCCATGGCTGGATCACTGGACAAAAATCAGCTGTTTTTGTCATCCACTCCCTTGACCCCTCCTCACTCAACATTTTTTGTTCAGAATATCCATCAATTGAACACAGTATAACTAAAATAATAGTGTCAACTAACAGACTCCTTTTTTGACACACAACCTCTACAAGACAGGGCCACAAGATTATGTAAAAATATTTTACTTGATATTGCACTTCAGTGGTGTACATTTCTTTCTCTCGTAATGCTCATTACCCCCTTCCTCATTTTTCATCCAGCAAAAAGCAGCATCAGTCTGTTTTCATCTGTGAATCTTGGGTGTTGGAGATTACGAGGAGCACCTGAAGGCAGCACGGACTGATGCGAGTGAGGGCGAGAGCAGACTGACTGACAGAGGGGGGGGGAAGGGGCGGCTCATTGAGCGATAGACTGGATGGAGCAGAATAATACAACCAGTCAGCTGAAGACAGAGTGCACACAGAGAAATTCACACAGAGAAAGAAAGAAAGAAATAAGAGAAAACACTCTCGTGTCGGGTTGAAACGCGCACGCGGAGAGGAGCCTCAACAAGGTAAGGATGCTTTCTAACGTGCACGGACTGAACTCTGTGCAGCTCTTTAGCACTGTTCATGCATGTGTGTGACAAAGAGAAAACAATGTCTCCAGGGAAACTGTCAGGTGGTCTTAGTTTGCACAAATGTAGAAAAAGGAAAATACAAAACCGCATTCTGCTTTTGTGTTATTTAGGCTTTTAATAAATTGAGGTTTCCAAACACAAGTGTGAGTAAAACCATGTGGATGCGTGCCTGTGCTGCATGTTAATGAGGGGTGTGCATGCACCTGTGATTAATCAAATTTCCAAATATTAGACCAAGCTGTTGTGACGAGTGTGAAGGGACTAATGCACGTGGGCATGCGCCGTCATAGATTATAGGCTAATTAAGTAAACAGTCTCCTGCTGATGAATTTAAATGGCCAATCAGTTGTTGATGGTTTGGCAGAAACAGGCCTATGACTTCGTCAGGCTTTGCTGCAGAGCAGGACAGAGTTTCATGTTTTATGGCCTCTTTTGTGAGAGCCATAGAGATTCAATGAAGGTCAGGGTTCTGCACAGTTTAGTCAACAAAGAAAACATGTGCACCCGTCGGAGGTTAAGAGGAAAGTCTAGAAACTTTTCTTCCTTTTTCATGATTATTATGGTTGGCGTAAAAAAAAAAAAAAAATGGTGTTTTCAATGCAAATAAGTCGGATTGATTGAGAAGAGGTCTTTGTTTGCAGGCCCCTGCTACACTACTGTTTTTACACACACTTACACACACACACATTACAAGCTCAGTGAGAGTTTAACATCAGCCATCAGTCAAAAAGCCTCTGAAGTTTGGCTCGCCACCAGACAGGTTGGCACTTTGTCAACCATCCGTCCCTAAAAACCTAGTTGGCTGTTGAAATCCTGAAACGAGTCGGGTTTCTGTCCCTCAGTCGGGGAGCCAAAGTCAATCTCTGGAAGTGATTCTTCATCCAGCTGAGGCTCAGGGTGGGCGAGCTGAAGGTGTGCTGATGTGATGTTCTTCTTATAAGCCTCTTAAAGGCCGTCTGGCTCCTGACCTCTTTGGCACTATATATTTCAGCACAAGCATTTATATACACAATTAAAATATTAACTAAATCTCTCCCCTTTGTTTTTGTTCCTACACAATATTTCAGCTGTTGACCGACTTTAGGATTAGAGCCGAACCAATTAGTTGATTGACAGAAGAATAATTGGCTACTATTTTGTTATTTGTCTCCGCTTTTTTTTTTTTTTTTCAAAGCAAAAACAGTGAAAAAAAATGCCAAAGATCTCAAATGAGATGATTTCCTGCTTTTGGACTTGTGGTTAAACAAAAAGGAGACATTTGAAGGGGTCACCTTGGGCTCTGGAACGTGTTTTTTGACATTTCATAGATTTATAATAGGCCACTTTTGGTTTGCCACTTAAAAGAGAATAGAAAGCATTATATTTGTTGCTGTAGATTATCCTAATACCTGAGCACAATGTACAGCAGGAAACATTTTTTTCTTTTTTCAAACGGACATTGGAATGAAATCTGTCCTATCCAGATATGTCGGATTGGCCATGTGGGTGGCATTATAGGTGGTGGATGGTCGCATACACACAGAGCGGCGGGCAGATGGCATCGGCAGTGTGTCGACGACCTCGGCCCTCTCCGTCTCCCTCTCGGGACCCGTCCCAACAGCAAATGAGTCTGGCAAACAGGTGGCGTGCATGTTTGCTTGGTTTTGTGTGTGTGTATGTGAGTGAGTAGAGAGCACAGTAACATAAGGTTAAGCTCTCCAAACACAATGTCAGTATGATAAACTACTACACTGACTTGACTGGAGATTGTGCCAGTGCCGTTTAGTAATGGGATGAATCATTTCGTCACAATCCTGAAGTTTTGTGAAGATAAATGACAACGAGGCCGACATAAAGAGACACCGGGGACAAAGTTAACTGGTGAGAAACTCCGGGAAGCAGTCAAAGCATCAAAGGGACAGTGAGGATTGTACTGTCAGTCATCAGACGGTGAGGAGAGGCACGTGAATACGGCATCTTTTCATGATCCAGCACAGTCATGTGAGGACGAGCAGCCAGGGGGAAAACCATGAGTAGAAACATGACAATAATATTACAAAACAATAAGGAGCACTCAGCTGACAGCTCTACTATATCACAGTATTAGTGAGGCTTCAGTGCAGTAACAAGATAACCTAAAACGGTATAATATGACATTGTTTTTATTGAAATATAAGCAGACGCCATGCTTGTTGAAGTCTTCTTGAGCAACTCTACGTCGACCCCTTTGTTCCTAGAGACCAGCTGAAAATCTTCACCCTGAAAAAGCAGAAACCTACATGTCGACACACTTTAATTCAATAAATCACTCGAAATGTATAATCCCTGATTACAAGTGGCGTAGATTCATTTTCTGTCAATCCCAACAATAATCAATTATTCAAACAATTGTTTCATTTGCTGTATATTTCTTCTTGCTATAAGTACAAGTGTACAAAATCCATTTCCTATCGATTCATATTAGAAAAGATGAATGCTGATTGCTTTTCAGTCTAGCCTCTGCTGCTATTCAGTTTCTGTTCTAATCTTAGACTTTTCTAATCTGCTTCATTGTATTCATTGAAATCCTCAGTGATGCAGCGAGCGCTGCCGTCTTAAATCAAGGAGGCTAGATAATACCACCATATGGCCAGTGGTAACCTGGTAAGTATTCAGTACTTCAGTACGGAAAGATGTCGGCGTTAAGCTCTTCTCAGCCCGTTGTAATTAGAGAGAGTCGGATTGAGGGAGGAAGAGACGGAGTGAAAGAAGGTCAGGGACGGGGTTCAAGAGTGCAGGGAGGAGGGTGAATGGAAGCAGAGAACTGTTCACTTTGTTGTTGGAACCAAGTCTTCTCAATGGAGCGGAGTTGTACAGCGGCCAACAGATGGCAAATACAAAGTCAACATATGAAGACAAGGAAATGATGATTAACCTCTGAATTTGGAAATAATAAAAGTTAGAAGACACTTCTTTCCTACAAAGCAATTACAGATGCAGTGAAGTAGATAAAAATGTTGTAATGCCTTGATATCATGCGTTGTCGACCTGGTAGCCCACCATATTTCCTGGATATCCTGCTGACAGGGAAAATAATAAACAAAAGTGAATCAATATTTTATTATATACGTTTATTTAGTTGGTTGACGCTGTGCCGGCCTGTCAGAATGTCAGTATTTCTCTCCTGATAATGTGCAGGATGGATTTTATTTTTAAAGTGCCGCTCTGTCGACGCAAAATGAGGGAATGAAGGCGCAGATATGCTGATGGTGGTCCAGCATTAGGCCCAATCAATCTGGGGATATTATTATTATTATTGAGGCGCACTGATGGGGAGAGGTCAAGGGTCATGTTACGGACTATTTCTTGGCCTGGCGCAATGACTTCTGGGAGACCACACATTTTCTGGCCAACTATAAAACCTCAGTGTTGTTTGTTTCACATTCAAGTATTTGTATAGATGAAATGATTTAGATAGAATGTGTTACACTGAGCTATAGAGGTGCTGGCAGGACAGAGCCAGACATCCCCCCCCCCCCCCCAATACTCCATCA